ATGTCCTGAAACGGATTTGGTGCAAAGAGGCCTAGGGTCTAAATCCGTTGTTTTGAGGAGCTACGCTTTGGTCCTATCAAATAATGCAGAGCTTCTGCCTGTAGCCATGTGGCTGAGGTTATAAAAACCGACAACTGGGACATGGTGTACTTTTAGGAGCACTTACCCTATCTTTTGAAACTCCAGCTGAAATTTTCTGACTTGTTTTTTTAGAGAAAATTACGTTTCATCATGGAGCCTTTTACATTTAAGGCCTGAATTATGGAGCTTCTAAAGAATTTTATTGAACCCCTTCGGCATGATTTTTCTCTCATGGCATTCCCTTGTGGCCAGGAGGGATCCATTCTTTGCCTTTAGCGTGGTTCTACAAATATTACTTCCCCTCCTTCTCCTTCTCCTCGGGAATAGTCCAATAATCTTCCGGGCAAGTGTGTTTGTGTGTGTACATGTGATTGTCACTTTTTAATTAACACATTTCATTTTTGTTTTTTTTTTTGCATCAGTGTGCGTATGTGCATCTGAGTATTTCCCCACTTCTTCTTCTTTTATTTCATAATACCTGCCCCTACTTGCTTGGAAATTTTCCATGATTTTTTTCTTTTCTTTTTTTGAGTGGCCCGGGTTGACGGTCTGAGTGTGCCCCTATTAATCCGGTTTTAATCTTAATTACGCTAATGTTTGCCATGAAACGAACGAACAGCCAGCGAGAATGCCAAAGAAATGTATCTTCTTCTTCGTCTTCGTCTCCGTTGTCTTTGTCTTTTTTCTTCGTTTGTCTTATTTCTTGAGAAATGAATTTTGTTACCCAACCCGTATATTTTTGCTTTTTTGTTCTTGGATGGGTCGGCTCGGGGTCGATTCTTTCGTCTTTGGTTGCCAATGGCAGGCAGGCAGGCTGGCAGTTTTGAGTTGGGTTGTCGTCGTCAATTTTCGGAAACCTAATCTGGTTATAATCTCTGATGTTCTTCGTTTCTTTTGCTTTCTTTGTTGCTGTTGTTGTTGAGTTGCGATTTATTTGTCTTTTTTGTTCTGTTCTGCTTCGTAGAATATTTATATTTTTTATCATTAACCCAGTTTTGATAGCTGCGTGTGTGTGTGTGAGTGTGTATTTTGAATATTGTTTGCGAATGTTTTTTTTTTTTTTTTTTTTTTTGCAAACGTGCCAAATATTTTGGCTGGGCGACTGGCTGGCATGGGAGATAAGAGCTGATAATCGAAACTCTATTTTGAAAAGCAATAAATTAGCAAACATTTCAAATGTTTTGTGTTTTTTTGTTTTTGCTCTTTCATTTTTAGAATGGCATAGAGGGGGAATATTGAAATTAGGGGAATTTTAGGGAACGGTGGGGTAATGATTTGAAATTTCCTTTTTTGGACTTCATGTTCATGTCGGGAATAAATTAAGAGCGAAATGTGTTGCTGCGTAGAATATATTTTTGTACGTTTCAAAAATCCACCTCCCCTTATTCCCCTCGATTTCCCCACTTTATTAAATTTTTATGGGGATTTAATATTAACAAGGCACGAAGAGGGAAAACAGTTTTTCTTCTTCGCCTTCCTTTCATCATTATTATTTGTTTGTTTCAATTGTTGTTATTGTTATTGTTATTATTAACTTTGTTATTAACTGACGTCAATACAACAAAAATAAATGAACAAAAAAAAAACAAAAGTAACAACAAAAATCGTTTGTGTGCCGGCAACATAATTGGAATTCGTTATTTTGCTGATTGTGTGAGAGTGTGTTGGTGTGGAAATATTTTTTGTGGAGGACATTTGAAGAGATCCAAAAAAAAAAAAAAAAGAAAAGAAAAAAGGAAACATGGGGAGGAGGAAGCCTGCCCCGAACAAATTAAAATGTATTTTATTGCGTCGTTGTTTGTTAGTCGTAAAGGCCAAGACATTGAACAAATGTGGATACCTCCCTACTTTTGTTTTCGTTATTTACCAAATACATAGTTCGTGTATATATGTATGTATCCATGTTATATATGTATATGTACTCATATGGGATTCCTTTTTTTGCCCAACATTCTCTCATTTGGGATTTTATTGATTAAAGAAAGTTATAATCCACCACCGCTACCCCACCCCCTTCCGATTGATTTGACTTTTGGTCTCCTTTGCTGAAGGAGACAATTTTGCTATCTTGGCGTCTATGTCTGCGTGTGTGTGTGTGCCAATTGACATATAGTGTCAAAGTTGTCAAATAATTCCCCGAAAATCCGTAGAGAATTTCAAGAATTCTTGTAATGAATTTCGAGAGAGATTGTGTTCGGGAAAAAGGAGATGATGAATTTCCAATTTTGTTGCGACAAGGGAAAAGTTTTTGGAAAAGTTCTAGGAATTTGCAAATAAATTATAAATGTAAGTTTCTAAAAATACAAAATAGAAAAAAATAAACAATTAAGCATAGGCTATAGTCGTGCGGGCCAACCATGTAATACCCTACAACACAATAATATGTTGTGACCTATAGAGCTACTGCTCGATCAGGAAATTTTTAATTTTTTTTTTGGTTCATTTGAACCCTTAAATGTACATCAATTATAACAATAGGCTTTGGGCTACCATCCAAATTGGTAGGCTTTTGCCCAGCCCTAACCTCTAAATTTTACGTCAATGGGTCGCTAATTGTGGCCCGTAGAGCAAATGCAAAATCAGGAAAACTTTCTGGTTTTGGTCCATTTCATACCCTAAATATTCTGCTATAATCTTTAAAAACAATAGGCTTCTATTTGGACCCTAACCCACCTCCATTTTCAATTTCAATTTTCAATTAATTGAAATATATTGGAACATACCTTCTGGAATCTCCCCCACAACCGGTCAAATTTTTGAGATGCTGTTGCTCTGATAAAATGAGAAATAAGTTTCCGATTCTCTTCAAATTTTGTATATGCCAGTACTTTTATTAACTGAATATCTGGTGTGAAGATGGTAGATATCGGCCCACTCCTTCTGGTAACCCCACACCCCCAACAAAGGGTAACAAATTTCAACATGTATGTATCGAAGTATGTATCAGATTTCTTTCAAATTTCTTACACCCTAATACTTTTATTAAAACATGATCTGGTATCAAGGTGGTCGATATCGGAACACTGCTTCTGGTACTTCTCCCACAAGGGGTCAAAATTTCTCACATCCCAATATTTCTGCTAAAACAATATCTAATTGGAAGATGGAATATATGGGAATATATGGGACCACAGCTTCCCCACACAGATGTTCAATTTTTTAATAACCAGAACGCTCATAAAACGAATAATAAGTAGCAGATTCATTCCGAATTTCCCATATTCCAATATTTATTTTAACACAAGATCTGATGCGGAGATGAGATACATCGGCTTACTCCTTTTGGAACCTGGAGCGCGGCATGCCACGGTCGATTAATACGAGCGGAGAGCGATCATCGGCTGTTATGGCGGCCCACACCATCACCATGGCCGGCGCTTGAGTTTTGGTGGCCAACCGAAGGTGCACATTTTCAGCTGACCTCTTTGGCAAGTCAACGCGATCATTTTGCTTGTTTACAAACTGCTGGATAACAAATGTTTTCCCATCAGAGAAAACCAAATTCGGCAGTTCATCACTTTCGGCCAAGCGAAGCAACTCTTTAGCTCTTTTAAGTCTATTTTCTTTCTGTTGCGGTGTAAGTTCTTGCACTTTTTGGAATTTCAATGGCTTTACTCCGAGCTCATTTTTCAAAATTTGCCGAATGGAATATTTTGCTATGTTCAGCTCACGAGCCATTTTTCGACCACTGCGACGCGGGTTTCGATAAAGTCGCTTCTTTACTTTTCGAACCATTTCTACCGATGTTGCTGTTTTCTTCTGTCCTCTTCCTTGCCGTCGGGCTACGCTACCAGTAACGACCAATGGTACGAGACACAAAAGATTTGTTCACATTAAAATGCTGGACTTTTCTAACGATAGCCACTTGTGGTTTTCTAACCAAATATAAAGACACACGTCACACTGTCACGCTTGAATTCCATCACGAATAACTTTTTTTCTGGAAAATTCTCACCAAAATGCTTCTGTACGCTTGTGAACAACATAATAAGCTGTCACTGGAATAATTTTTACAGCTGTCGGACGAGTGGCTTAGAAATGACAGCAGTCTGAAGTTGATTGTAGTTTTTTTTTTATCTCAGCCTGTACTTCGTCCCACTATATAAGATACCTGAAGTAGTCGATATAGTCCAAAGCTGGTAGGTTGAAATATTTATATCAGACTTATGCAAGATACGAACAGGACAATTTTGGCCCATACTTCGGACCTTCTCCATAATGGGTCAACTGTTCGTAAAATCATAACAGAAGTCAAACTAACATTGGTATACATCTTTCGACAAAATCGGTTTAACTTGGTTTTCAAAAAATTTATCACTTTTTCTTAACTTGCTGCAATTTTTCTTATAATTTTACTGTCCGTATTGTGGAAAATACCAAACGGACTTGAAAATCCCTTTGGTATAGATTTGTATATCAAAATCCTTTGTTTGTTTTTGGGTTCTTAGACCAATTCTGTGAAGGACTTTATATAGGTTTGAACATATTCCACTCCTTTTGATACATCTTAGCTCTAACAAAATGTAAATGGAATCAAATTTCTTACGAATTTTAATATTTTTGTACAAATTCAATATTAATTTTTTATTCTCTTAAATAAGTTGAGCAACTAACTAACCGATTTTTATTTCTATTTTTTCAGATTTTACAAAAATTGGATTTAAAAACAAATCAGGAATTATTTAACCGACAATCCACAAAACAAACTCAAACTGCAAATTGGGCGACACATAGAGGACATCCTTTCCAAACACTTCTAAAATAATTGCACAACAAATACCCCTCTAGAGACAAAAATGAGGAAAACGCGTCGTGGTGTGATCGTGGTTATTCGGATATTATTTTTTGTCTTTGTTTTATTTTTAAATTTTTATTTTAGAAATATTGATTTTTTACATATTTATTTCATTTCTTTACAGGATGCGAAAATCTTCCATGATCTCTCCAATTTTCTGAATTAAAGAAATAGAAAAAAAATTTAATTCAATTATCTGGAAAGGCAGAAAGAAATATAGAAAAAAATAAATAAAGAAAAATATGTGGAAATTATTAGTTTTACTGAAGAAAACTTGTGTTCTTTTTTAAAAATAAAATAAAAAATATATATATAAAAAAATCATAATTCTTCATAATAAATTAAAAAAAAAAAATATATATATATATGTAAGCAAGTTAAATAATAAAAAATAATCTAATTAAAAAATATATATATCTCTAAAATATGGGCCGCATCTTATAAGAAAAATCATTAAAGTGGTTAAAATAATTATAAAAAAATAGTTTTTAAGGCTTCAAGCTAATAAGAAAAAAAAAAAAAAAAAGAAAGAAGAAAAAATATTTAAGTGTAAGAAAATTTGTTTTTTTTTCTGGAAAAATAATTTTCTAAATGTAAAAAAAAAACGTAATAAATAATATATAATATTATTGCCCAAATAATTATATAAATAAAAAATTAAAAATACATCAGTGCAAAAAGAGAAAAAAAATCAATTTTTAATCTAAAGGCAAGTGGAAAAAAGCAGAGCAAAAAAGTATAAAAAATAAAGATTATTACAAAAATGTGTTGAAAAGTTGTTGGCCGCTGCGAATATTACAAGGCTCGTGTGAAAAAATCCAACTCACAGCCTAAACGACCCGACCGCCCACTCGCCGCAAGGACAGCAAGAACTCTTTAACTCCCTATCATCTCCATACCGCCACACACACACCCCCAACCACATAGAGAAGGGAGAAATAACATTGCGAATTTTGTTCTTGCTACGATGCCAATGATGCAGCTCGATCGTCCAGGAATATAATAGAACCCCCACCCCAAAAACAACAACAACAAAAACAAAAATTATTTCTATGAATTTCGGCATGAAATGGAAGCAGCCATACGTTCATCAGTACAGGTTGGTGGTCCTCAGCCGCCACCTAATGGTGGTCAAAGTCAACAGCAGCAGCAACAACAACAACAGCAACATCAACAGCAGCAACAACAGCAGCAGCATCAACATCATCAGCATCAACAACAACTTCATCTTCATCATCATTTACAACAACAACAACAGCAGCAGCAACAGCAACAACAACAAAAACAATCTGTTGATAATGGACCAACGTCCCAACAACAGCAGCAGCAACAACAACAGCCACAACCACCCTCACATCTTTCACAGCAACAGTCTCAGCAGCAACAACAACAACAGCAGCAACAAGCTGCCGCAAATATGTCAACCTATCAGCAACAGCAAAGGATACCCGCTGGTGCATCACCAATTCATAGGTAGGTGTCCTGTTTATCCTTTCAAAAAATATTTTTTTTGGAATTTTCCAAACAAGAACCAGCGAAGAAGGCTCAAAAGTCGGGCGGGTCGATTATTTGATACACTACACCACTATGCATATTTGGTAGAGTTAGCCGCTACTTTTCAGCAAAAAATGCACCTCAAAATTTTGGGATTCGTTTCTACAGCTCGTGGTGGGCCTTTTTAGAATTCAAAATTCACCATTTTAACAGTTCGATAACGGGTTTTAATCAAAACTTCATCCCCTGTACTAAATTTTCAGATTTTCGAGGTTTTATATATGGTTAAAATTTTTCCATTTTCCGAAAGAACAATGGGAAAAAATTTTCAAAATCTTTCATTTTGAAGTTTACCGAGGCGGATGTCAGTAAAACCAGTGGACCCACATCAAATTATTGGGTTCAAAACTATTTCAATGTCTCCATATGTAAATCCTAGAAATCAAATTTGAGAATTTTAGTTCTATCCCTTCACCCAATACCAAATTTAGTAACACTTAGTACGCATATCCAAAACAAAGTAATCAAAAATAGTACTTTTTGTACAATTTTAGTACACATATCTAAAATCAATGCCAGATCTCAACACCACATACCAACATAGACCTCAATATCAAATTTCGAGATTCCAGTTTTATCCCCACATCAAATACCCATTTTAGTAACATTTAGTACTTTTCGTATAATTTTAGTACTCATATGAAAACCCGTTCCATACATCAATCCCAGACACCAACCTTAACCTTTACGAGACCTTAACATTAAATTATAAAATTTTATCTCGAACCCTTCACCCGATACCAATTTTAGTACCATTTAGTCCCTTTCGTACAATTATATTACACGCACTTCCAAAACCACCTCCATATGTCAGGGCTAAAAATTAACAGCGATCCTAATACAAAATTTGAAATTGTAAGCACTATATGTTCACTCAATACCGAATTGTACCAAATTTAGTACCATTTCGTAATTTTCTTGCACATTTCCAAAATCAACTTTAATTTTCAAAACTACCTCCAACCGCGATCCCAATACCAAAACTTCCAGCTCTATCAATTCACCCAATACCAAATTCAGTAACACTTAGTACACATATCCAAAACAAAATAATGTAACCAGAAATAGTACTTTTTAGTACTTTTCGTATAATTATTGTACACATTTCCAAAACCACGAGCAGATCTCAACCGAGACCTCCAGATACCAACAGAGACCTCTATATCGAATTTCGGGATTCCAGCTCTATACATTCTCTGAATATCAAACATAGTACTATTTATAACTTTTCGTATAATTTTAGTACTTATGTGCAAAACCGTTTCATATCTCAATCCTAGACACCATCTGTGGTCTCAATATCAAATTAAAGAATTTTAGCTCTATCGCTTCACCCGATACCGAATTTAGTACCTTTTAGTACTTTTCGTACAATTATAATACACGCACTTCCAAAACCACCTTCATATGTCAAGGCTATGAATGGAAAAGCACTCCTAACTTTTGAACTGCAAGCACATCTGTTCACCCAGTAGCGAATTGTACAAAATTTAGTACCATTTAGCAATTTTTCTTACATATTTCTAAAAACAACGTTAATTCGCAAATCTACCACCAACCTCCATCCCATTACCAAAACTTCAGAATTCTAAATCTATCCCTTCATCCAACACCCAATTTAGTACTTTTCGAACAATTATAGGTTAGTACGCATTTCAAAAACCCGCTCCGTCTCTCAACTCAAATTTCAGGATTTCAGCCCAGACGTAACGGCGGATGAGGCTAGAATCTTGAAATTTTGGCTGGGTTTTTAGAAATTCTTACTGAAATGGTACGAAAAGTTCAAAAATGTACTAAAATCTGAATATTTTGTATTGGATAAACAAAATAATCTACAATTCTGAAATTTGGAATGAGAGTCACCAAGGGGGTGCAGGATAGATGTAATAAAGGGTTTTTGGAAATTCAAATTTTAAGGTTACGACAGGTTCAAAAATTGTACCATGTGCTATTATGTAAACGGGTATAGATACAATCTTACAATTGGATATGGGAAACAAGGTTGGAAAGTATTTTTGAAAGAAATATATGCTTTTGAAAATGTGTAATAAATGTACGTACTGTACTAAATAGTACTAAATTTGGAACAATTAGATTTAGGGGTGGACTAATGGAGCTGGAATTTCGTAGTTTTGGCATTGGGATCCCCGTTGGTAATAGGTTTGTGATATAGAGGTGGTTTTTGGAACTGTGTACTACAAGTGCACGAAAAGTACTAAATGGAACTGTATTTGGTACTAAATTTGGTATTGGTTGAAGAGTAAGTGTTTGAAATCTGAAATTTGGTATTAGGGTCGATGTTCATGTGTACTCTCAAAAGGGACTTAAAAGTAAGGTTCCATTACGTCTGTCCACCCTAGGCTATAGAAAGCATTCTTCACATCAAGCGTGACTAATAGAATTATCATCCCGCTGTAATTATTTCTTTGCCGGGCGGCGGACGTCGACAACTTCTTTCATTGCAATGATGGTTAACTTTCCACTTCTTCTCATTTCAAGCTTTCAGCATCGGCTATTCTGGTCTTTAACAGTCTCCGGAATAGTTTTCCTGCAGTATTTAGCATGCAGGGTGGCCGGTACGTAGACGAGGCTCTCGGGGAGCAAAAGCTGCTGGGCGAAGATTCCCTCTGCTAAACAATGGTTACACTTATTCAACCTCCTCCTTGAAAATCTCTGTTTGAACCATATCAGAACCTGGTGCCTTGTTATTTTTTCAATTTTTTAGCTGCCGCATTTTGTTCTTCTGCCGTGAAGACTATGACTATTTCTTTGCCTTTGGCGATGGATCTCCTGCTCTAACTTAGCATTTCGAAAACAATATTTGTCATTGTTTCGTCATCTATTTCTTGTCATCTTGGCCTTACAGTTTCCGCATTACCAATTTATACCCAAGTCCAAAAGTGATGTCGGCTTATGACATGTCTCAGTTCTTCCTTCCCATTTTCCATTTATAAACAATTATCCACGTATGAAGTGGTTTTGTCTGAATTGTCTATTTTCATATAATTTTCATAAGCTTTATCAAAATGACGTGCACCTCACACACGCCATATCGAAATTAACAAATGTTTGGAGAAATAATAAAAAAAAAAACATTCCGCGAATGACGAAAATCCCCTCTTATCTCTGTTATCAGTTGACGGATCGATATAATATGACACAGAAATACTCTATCGAATTTCTGATCAGTCATCATTTTTTTAATTTATTTTTTTTTGTTTCTCTTCTAATTTTCAATCCTCCACATATTTCACCATTAAACCCCCCTCTCCCAAGTATTTGATGACCCCAATCACAAAGGTATTGTATTTGCCAAAGTCTATCTATTTCAAAATCTTATCGCAGAGCAACTAAGGTAATCATCACAAATATCAGAGCAATAAACTTAGAAACGAGAAATAAAAAAAAAAAAAAAAAACAAAAAATAAATATTTAACAAAAAAAAAAAAAATTGAAAAGCTTCTTATCTTATCGTGTTCTACATAAATATATTTATATATATATTTTTCCCCTATTTTTCCATTCATTCCATGTGAATGACTTTATTTGATGAGTGCTGCGATAACAGTTCTCCGGCAGTAATAAAATAATAATAACAACAACAACAATAATATTTATAAACCAGTCATATATAATTTAGATGTCTTTGTTCTATCTATCTATGTGTGTGTGAATGCACGCGGTTTTGGCCAATAGACACTGTTGTCAGTTGAGCAGTCTGTCAGTCAAGTCACTTCATTCAATTGAAGTTCAAATCTTATCTCTAATGACTTCCATTCCAGTTCAGTTTTGAGTTCTCCAAGCACCACAGACACCACTCATTCATGGGACTGGCCCACTTGATTGACAAATGTGTAGTTGTGGACGTCAAAAAAAAAAAAAAAAACAGTTTTCCCCTCTCGACCCCATCATAGTTTGTTATCACCAGTGTACGCTCGTGTTCGAACACGTTATTTTTGTATACCTAGTTGTGAAATTAAATATTAGACATATGTGCGCAAGATTTGAAAATCACGTCTTGCTAAGATTTTTGATAGAATTCTTTTTGTTATTTTAATTACTCGAATAGGATTGACTGACCCACTATCCGAACTTGAATATCTTCCAATCGAAATGGTAAAATTGTTTGTTTGTCTATATAAAAGTGTATATGACTGACTGGCAGACTGACGAATTCAGAATTAACGTCCAGACGAATCGGATGAATCTAGAATCTTAAAATTGTTGGCTGGGTTCTTAGAATTTCGCACTAAAAGGGTACGAAAAGTACTAAAATGTACTAAAAAGTAAATATTTTCTTTTGGATATACAGAATGATCTACAATTCTGAAATTTGGGAGGAAAGTCACTGATGGAATGCAGGATAGATGTAACAAAGGGTTTTTGGAAATTCAAACTTTAAGGTTACGAAAGGTTCAAAAATGGTACCATGTGCTATTTTGTGAACGGATAGAGATACAAACTTAAAACGTGGAATGAGAATCAAGGTTGGAAAGTATGTTTGTTATGAGTTTCTGGAAATGTCTAATAATTGTGCGAACTGTACTAAATGGTACTAAATTTGGAACAATTAGATTTAGGTTGAACGTATGGAGCTGGCATTTTGACGTTGGTTATATGTTTCTGATAAAGAGGATTTTTTTGGAAATGTATTTTGTAAGTGCACGAAAAGTATTAAATAGTACTATAAATGGTACTGGGTGTGCAGGTAATGCTTGAAATCAGAAATTAAATTTTGGGGTCGCTGTACATGTGTAGCCTAGATAAATGGATGTGGTTTTGGAAATATGTACCACAAGTGTACGAAAAGTACTAAAGAGAGATTGAGATTTGAGGGTGGTTTGGAAATGCGTTCTAAATTTGTACAAAATGTTCTAAATGGTACTAAATTTTAATATTGAGGCTCTGCTGGTATCTGG